CGGTTAGAAGCGGTTCTTTAACCTGCCCCAGGCCGTCCCAGTAGAGCAGTTGTGGTCTTAGATTTTTTATTATTATTATTATTTCTAAATTTCTCTTGTGTGTCTAGTCGAAGTTTTTTCAAACGCGACCGGGTGGGTCGCTTGTAGCATGGAAATTGGAAAAAAGTTTCTTAGAGCAGAAGTAGCCTGGCAGAAGAGAAACTCAACAGGAGTGTCTTTAAAACATGATTTGGTTCTAAATGGAGTTTTAAGCTCTCTGTAGAAAGAATGGGGTTTATTTTGTTGCTTTACTTTTTGACTGTCTCTTTATTTAATGATCTTTCATTGTACTTATTTTAGACACCTGTTCAGATAAAAGAATTTGGTGCAGTAAATAAAATTGACTTCTCCCCGGTTCCTCCATATAACTACGCAGTCACAGCCTCCTCAAGGGTAAGTGGCTTTTCTGAGAATTTTTTTAATGTTTTTGTCCTTTGGTTGGTATCGTACGCCTGAACTTACTATCCTCTTGTTTTATCAGATCCACATTTACGGTCGTTACTCTCAGGAACCAATCAAAACATTTTCACGCTTCAGAGATGCTGCTTATTGTGCCACATACAGAGATGATGGCAATCTGCTTGTCGCTGGCAGCGAGGAAGGTAGCATTCGCCTCTTTGACATCAGTGGAAGGGCACCACTGAGGCAATTTGATGGTCATGCTAAGTAAGAGAGTGTTGTTTTTTTATTTTATGTGCATGGGCTTGTTGTATTTACATGTCTGCTTTACATGTTGCTGAAGATCTGAATAATACTGATCCACATTACTTGCAGCTATCTTATGTAGTTCTTACTGGAAAGTGGGTTTCTAAATTCAAAATTTGATATTTTTCTAAATTTAAATATTAATTAGGTACATGGGAAAACTAATACATTTTCTAATTCAGGTAGGTGCCATTTAATATGTTATGTAGAGGTAGTCTTGTGATTACATGGCACTGGTAAGCACATCTTGCACATGCTGGCAGTGTGCAGTCTAAAAATTGACTGAACAGAAACGGTGAAGAAATATGCCATGAAGAGCAGGAATCCCTTAAAAAACGAAACAGAACTGCTTGATGGTGGGCTTGATGGGGAGGGAGTTAGGAGTTCTCGTGTAGCAGTGAGGAGCAGACCGTGATAACTCTTGGATTAACCTGATTGCTGTGCTGTGGAAGATCAATATGTGTTTTATGTATCTAGGACAACAAGAGCAAACGCCCTCTCACCGGAGGGCATGCAGGCAGACCTTGAGAGTGTTTCTATTTGAGGTCTGTGTTTGTAGATAGGATATCATCTTATATCCTAACCATTAAGTTAATTAATACGATTTAGGGTATCTGTGTTTTCTGTCAAAGTCATTCTCTCTTGGGATGTTACAATGATAACACAGATTTCAATAGTGATTTTAAAGAACAAGAAGAGTGACCAATGCGGCCATACTTAAAATTCACTATTATAATTTTTTTCTGAAGGACAGTGCTAGTACACAGACCTCTAAGTAACAAATACACACACAGTTTGAACGAGTAGACCTAAACCATCTTTAAAGCAGTTCAAGTCAGTGCTAGGGTAAGCATCTGTTAGTGTGACCTTTTTCTGGCTGGAAAACTAAAGTGTTTTAATCTCTAAGGAGAGGTTTTGTAACTTGCAGTAGTAAACAGTTTGCACTTTTAAGTTACAGTACTTTAAGCTCTTCATACAGGCTAACTCTTCTGGGTACAAGTATATTTAACTTCGGATATCGTGGACTTTGTTTTCTAGACCTGTTCATGTAGTGGGCTTCCTGTCTGATAAATACCGAATATTTTCTGGTGGTGATGATTATTCATCAAATTTGTGGGATATTCCAAGTGCTACAGAAATCGTCTCTTACAGTGAACATACCGACTATGTGAGATGCGGCTGTGCAAGTAAAGTAAATGCAGATGTCTTTATAACAGGTTTGACTTTATTTTTTTTTATATATATGCTTCTTTTGAATTGCGTTAAAGTAAATGAAAGATAGTTTTTGATACAGTAGGATCCTCTTTATTGTATCGTAAACATGGATGATCTGTCTTCCTACTTAGTGGCTGCTTTGTTGTGCCTGTTTGCTTTAGCCTGTTAGGGCTAACATGACTGTTCTGACTGCGCTTTGAAAGTTTTATGAAAATCCTGAGAAGGTATCCTTTATTTGGGATGGTGTTTTATCAGGTTTCAAGAGGAGGACACTGGTTCCACTGTAGTTGGTACAGCTCAGAACTGACAGACTCGAAAGTGAAATGTCATGTGAGGAGTTATTTGAAACCAGTTGCTTTTGGTTTTCCTAGCAATAGCTTTCTGTGGTAGATCGCTATGAAAATATCAGTGTACCTTACTTCAAGAGGCACGGGAGACTAAATTTCATCAGGTTGCCTGGTATTTACTGTTGCCTAGTGTATTTACCTTTAAAAGACTTAAATTACTTTTAGGGTCTGACGTGTTGCTAGGGCTAGAATTTGAAGACTCATGTTGCGTATTGTTTAAAACAGTTTCCATTTGGCAGGAGCTCCTTTGGATTGTAGTACGTAACTGTTTTATTTCCTGAAGTAACTGAAATACTGAAACTAAAGCTGTGTATTGTCATTTGCAGGTTCTTATGATCACACTGTGAAGCTATTTGATGCACGAACAAAAAGTAGTGTAATGACAATAGAACATGGCCAGCCTGTGGAGAGTGTGCTCCTCTTCCCATCTGGTGGGCTTCTAGTATCTGCAGGTACTTCAGTAAAATCAAATCTCTTTTCTATGGCCCTAATTTGAGAAATACTTCAGCTGCTTCTTTCCCATGTGATGTTTTCATTTGCTAACAAAGTGGTAGGTGGTGTAACAGCTGGATTTCTTGGAGATATTCTTTAGGAATCTGTTGATCTGGAGGGTGAAGGTAGGAGTCGTCTTGTCCCCATTTGATTTCCAGAAAAAATAAATAATAAAAAAAACCCCAACCAAAAAACTACCAAAAAATCCTAACCATTTTTAATTATAAGATACAGACTTTAATTAGCCCAGTGCTAAAGTGGAGCAATGAACATACTTAAGAAGTTTTGAAAAGATAGAAATGTTTCTCTCTCTTAATGATGACAAAGTTTTTTAGTTTCTTCTTGCCATTGCATCAGGAAGTCCTGTAAGGCACTGGTATCTAGTTTTTTTTGGTAAGCTGTATCTTGAATTATTCAGCTGTGCCTGCAGAATGGCCTAAAAAAGACCAGGCTTGTAACGTGTCTTGTTCTGGGAGATAGCCATAATGGATGGGGATGGTGTGTAGGTACAGAAAACTCTTTATGTTACGAAGGGGACGCTGTTTTGCTCTGCAAGAACTTACCCAGAGAAGTGTCCACCTGTACGTATGTCAGACTGTTCTGTGTGCTTCTTTCCCGCAGGAGGTCGATATGTCAAAGTCTGGGATGTACTGAAAGGTGGGCAGTTACTAGTTTCACTTAAAAACCACCATAAAACTGTAACGTGTTTATGCCTGAACAGCTCTGGGCAGAGGTTACTGTCAGGATCCCTAGACAGGTTAGTATATTTTGATGCTTTGTTGTGATTTAAATTCTTTAGGACTTTTATCTTTTAAAGTTATACATTAGTATGAGTCTGACCATGTTTTCTTTTAACTGTTAGAGCTACAGTGTATTGGAAAACATCTTGGAGCCAATGTATACATATTGCCATATACATTAGCCCTTTTCTCTTACTAGCCTGATTGTCAGTAAGGGTTTGGGAATATGCCTGGGGAACTTCTGAATAAGCATTCATTTTTATGAATTTCTAAACTGACCTTTGCAGTCCTCAAAGTAATGACTCTAAACTTTAATACAATTTAAATAACTGAAAGTATATTACTATTCACCTTTAAAAAGCCTAGGTTTTGTGTTTCTGTGCAGTTGTTTTTTTGTACCTAAGACGTACAGGTGAAATACGTCCTTCTTGCTTTTCTATTTGAGTGCTTTATACCGGTATTCAGTCTGTTGTCTCAGAGATATTAGAAATATGAAGTACTCTGAAATCACAGGAATCTACCCCCTTCTTCACTCCGTCTCCTTTTTCCTAGGCTTCCTTCGGGCTTCCTGCAGCTCTTTTGTCATTCAGTGCCTACAACACTGAAGTGCATACTTGTAATACAATAGTTTGTTTTCCCATTTCATAAATATTTCCTACCTTTGACCAAATTGTTAAAGAGCAGAAAAGTACAAGAGTATCTATGGATTTACTTTCAGAAATTGTCAATAGATCTGTTACTTTTAAAAACAAATTTGAAGACATGCTATCTTAGTGTCTCCTCATAAGCATTGCTGAAGTTAGTCACCACAACTGTTTTCTGTTCCTTCTTCTGTCCTAGCCTTGTTTTCATCTTTCTTGGGTAAGGGTAATCCTTTCTTGACTTTCGTGTATCTTTCAGCAGAGTCTTTCTGTTTCACGGAAGGTCTTAACTAAGAAGTTAAGTGGTAGTCTTAAGAATGCTTTGTGGAAATACTCAGTTTTCCTTAAATGATCTATAGAACTTGAGGGTGATTAAATTCTGTCAAGTGTCTACAATGAGGCATTAGTAAAAACGTTTTAATCATTACTCTTCTGAACAGGCATGTGAAGATTTACAGTACTACTTCCTACAAAGTAGTCCACAGCTTTAACTATGCTACATCCATCCTTAGTCTTGCATTGTCGGTAAGTACATCAGAAATCTTTTAGGCAAGCTAATTACTGATGCCTTTTAAGTCAGTGAAGTAATTAATTTTTGTGTCCATTGCTGTTGGTTGTTTCGGAAGAATGCAGTTCATGCAAAGCAGGATGACTGAAAATATTTCTTCAAAGTAAAAAGTGGATTAAGAGGTTTAACATGTAATACATCCAGGTACCAGATGTTACATTATTACATCTGTACAAAATTTTTTGTTTATCAAGGACAGTATATGTATCACAGAAAAAGTATTCTGTTTAGAAGGGAAGTCCTTTAACTTTAAGAAGATTGTACTAATCTTTTTGCCTTGCAGGAACCTTGTGAGTCCTCATGTGTGGAAATGGTAAAAGAAAAAAAAGTAGTTAATTTGCTAGAAAATGTAGAATAGGGTGAGCTTGACTTAAAAGGTTGTTGGTGTCAGTCAGTTTGAGGAAGAAAAGGGTAAATGGCATGAGATACAAGCATAAACAATGTTTGCCAAAGCCTGTGTCCTAATGTCTTGGAAACACTCATTTCTCTGAAACACTTGAGTTCCAATGGATAAGTGACCTGCTGGCCAAAAATCTGGAGACTTTTAAAAACAATGCTGTTGTCATGTAGTCACGTTTTACGTAGCCTCTGAAGCACATGTGAAAGGGACTGTGAGGGATATGTACTGCCTTTGCTACTTTACTGTTGTCCTGCTCTTCTGGAACCTAGGGGAAGGTGTGTGTGTGTGTGTGTGAAGGAGATGTCTTCCTTTTATTAATTTTGCATCTTGTTCTCTAGGGAGCTAGAGCTAAATGAGTTTTGAATTATTTTGGTTGAGATGAGTACAGAAGAAAAAAGAACTCTAACCTTTTAGGCCTCTACAGCAACTGCAAAACATGCAGTACCTGTAGTTAGGTGTCTCCGGAGCTGTGTTTGTATTGTGAAATGTAGTGTGTTTTGTTTCATGCAGACTAAAACCCTTGAGGGTCAAACCAAAGGCTGGTCTAATTCCAGATGCTACTATCAACTATAGCCATAAGTACATGCATATGGAAAACTAAAAACAGGACAAGTGTGTCTGATATTCTCCTCAAACTCCAAATTCATTTTCAGATTAGAAATTACCTCATCAGAGTGTAGTTTCTGTGTTATTAAAGAATTTCTCTTACGTAAACATGCTCAGTCTCTCCCAGAGCTTGGACAAATTTGCAGCCTTCACTAGATTCCTTGACAAGAAGTATCTGCTGCTTGTGTGAAGAATTACCACCTTTTGTTCCATCTGAACCTTCTTTAGCTTCATTTGATGCCCCTAAATGAGACGTTGACAGGCTGATCTGCATCCATACCTGTCGTGATTCCACAGGCTTTTATCATATCTCTTTTCAATTGTCTTTTTTTCCCCTGCTGAAGAATTCTGGCTCAAATGAAGCCAATCTTCCATTCTCCTCTGTGTTTTTTAGTTCTTTCTTTCTGAATCTACTACCCTTTTTTGAGAGTGACTCACATAGGATTTGAGATGTGGGTAAACAATGGATTTATTCAGTGACGTAGTGTCTTTCTAGTTTTTATTTCATCTGCAGTAATCATAGAATTGCCTAGGCTGGAAGGGACCTTAGAGATCATTTAATCCAACTTCCCTGTGGCCAGGGACGCCACCTCTCAACTAGATCAGGCAAAGCATGGGGACCGAACGGGAATTTCTAACTATTTTTTTTAAAGTTTTTTTTCTTACCAGCGGTTTAGCATTCAGCTAATGTTATAATGTTTTCATAGAATTATCTGTTAAAAATAACAGCTCAGAACTTACTTTACATGTGAAGTCAATGTTTTTCCTCAGTGGATCATTTAAAATTACAACTTTTGGCATCGAACACATGCAACCTTTGCCTATGTAGCTGAAATTTATACCAGTGACTGATATTTTGAACAACTTGCGCATGTATCTTATAACCCTGCTGTTCCGTGATGGCATTCTTGTAGATGGTGTTCATGTCTACTGTACGGCATGTAATAGCCAAAGGCAGTTGTACACCATTGGAAAGAAAGAAAGCTTTTCGTAGATTATACTTACAAAACACTGATAATACATATTTGAGCTTGCTTCACTACTTGGGCTGTAATACTCCTAGGTATTTGTTAAAGGTTTGTTAGATAATGTTGCTTATGTTCATAGCTTTGAAGCTGTCTCTGTTTTACACCAGGTATTTGTTCATGGGACCTCACAGAGGTGCTTTCCAACTTCAGTTGTTCTGTGGTACTGTGATTAGAGCCTTATCATGAAGCAAAAAAAAATTAAAAATCTGTGTGGTAGAGCATGCATCATCAAATAAAACAAGAGGTTCCTAAATTTGTGATTTCTTCATTTTAGCCTGAAGATGAAACCATAGTTGTAGGCATGACCAATGGGGTGCTAAACGTTAAACACAGAAAACCTGAAGAAAGGAAAGAAAAGTCTGAAAAGAAGAGACAACCAGCATATAGAACCTATGTGAAAGGAAGAACTTACATCCCAAAGCAGGTATGGGTTGCTGAGAAAATGTACACTGAAGCAATCCCCAAAGGTTTTTTTTTCAGTGTGCTAAGTTGAAGAAAGGGAAGGGAAGGAAAATACCAAGGCATATAAGCTTGTTCATGGTAGTACATTTCATCCATTTTGTGTGTGTCCTATCCTGAACTTGGCTTTCAATTTTAGGAAGATTTCTGTGTCAGTAAACCTGTAAAACGTGTTTTGAGGAAATATGACAAGCTGCTGAAGAGCTTTCATTCTTCCAAGGCCCTTGATGCAGTACTGGAGGTAAGGCACCGTTTTTTGTCTCATCAGAGTTGTGTGCTGTCATCCGATGTGGATTTTCTCCTTATGTCTAATTTACTTCAACGTTTCACTAGAAAGGAATCACACTTGTGTGGGTCCTCTTTTGGTGCTGCTGCTATCAGCCCTGTTTTTTTGTGCAAAGATGTTGCTCTCATACTAAATTCTTCTTATATATGTCCAGCCACCCATCAGGCTTTATACTCCTGAAGTTACAGTTGCAGTCATGCAGGAACTACATCGCAGAGGAACACTGCGGAGTGCGCTTGCAGGCCGAGACGAGAAGCAAATTAATCTCCTTCTGACCTTTGTGGCAAGGTATTTTAACACGAATTATTTTGACTATTTTTAGACCTGTATTTCTTAATAGCATTTTCCCCAGTGCTTCTTCAGATCATTGGTGAAATACTGGTGCACTTGAAATCTCATATGCCTTCTGCTTTCTGGTATCAAGGTGTGGGATAGTGCTGAAATAGTTTACCTGTTAGCACAGAACAATTTTGCTGATGCTATGAGAGGAGTCATCCTATGCTTAGTGTGTTATTTTCTGTCTCCTTGATGAAACCTGTTTTCATGTACCTGAGGCTTTTGCTACTCCTCCAACCCCCACTGCCTTCCTAGAAGGAGGAGTATAAATATGTAGCTTTTTGTTTGTTTTGTTTTGTTTTTAAACTCACATCTCTGACTCATGTAGAGAAAGCTGCTTGTTGTGGAGAAGGAGTGCAGGTAGTAAAACTGGCATGTGTTCTAATTTTGCAGGCGAGTGATTGAGCCTAGATTTACTCCTATACTGGTGACTGTTGCAGACATGATCACAGGTAAGTAGAACACAAAAAAAGATTCCTAAAACTTAGTTTAGAAATAAGGTACGTTTAGGTACACAAGCTTAGAAATAAGATTCATTTAAGAAACCAAACTTTTTTTTTTTTTTTTGAAGTATGAGCTTGATGTCAAGAGAATGATCCAAAAGGAGGTATTGCCAGTTAACTTTGACCATAGTCAGTAGCTGATTTGCACTGGCTGCAGGAAGTTCCTCACAGATTTTAAGTATGTTTGATACATCATGTTTCCATACTTATATAGTACAAATGACTTCTGCTTCTCCAGTGAGATAAAAATAGCATTTGACATTGTAAAAACTTCTGTTAGTTTGACTTACTGTGAGTACATACCAATAATTAACACTAATTTCAGTGTTAAAGTTACTTGTCCACAATGTTGGGATTTGTGCCAGACTCCTTAAATGCATCTCTAACTACCTAATATAACTTCCGTGTTTTTATGTAACTGTGGATTCTCAAGTGACTGTTTTTTCTTTACAGACATTTATCAGCCTGTAGTTGGGCAGTCAGCAATTGTTGATAGACAGTTCCTGAAACTTCAGGAAGCCATAGGAAAAGAGATTGACTATCAAGAAGAACTACTGGAAGTTTTGGGAATGATGGATACACTGTTTGCTACTTTTACTAAGAAGACAGCTACTTACCTGGAAGAGAACAAAAGTAATGGTCTTACAGAAACAATTAAACCAAATACAAATAGCTGATTGACAACCATGACAACAAATTGTCACAAAAAGTAATGTGGACTTGAAATACATGACCTGTTCTTCTGGTAACTTTTTATAATAGTGATTTTCAAAATAAGCCCCTTTATGTTTGAAGTTCTGTCTTCCAAAATGTGTTTCTGAACAGGCTGTATTAGTGAAGACAGAGAAAGAAGAACATTTTCAAGATTTTTCATGCAATATTTTTCAAACAATTGACTTTTAGAGTTTTATTCCAAAGTTATGTAACTTTTAAAGTGTTTTGTGCATCCAGTACTAAATCTTTATTTGATTTAGAGAATCAGTCAACAGTTTTCTGGTTTTATTTACCAGAAGAAAATTGAGTTTTATCTAATTTTTAAGTGTCATTGTCCTTATTTAAGGTAAATATCCCATTTCATGTACTTGGACATAGAAGTAAAACCACATATACATTTGATATAACTTGACTATGTTGTGTTTTTTATCCCTGCTTCATCTCCATTTCAGACTTACATGTATTCATAGGAAACAGCAAATTACTTAAGAAAACAAATGCATGCTTATGCGTATTGAAAAATCTGTTAGTTTATACATTTATTAATTATAATTCTCTAGAAAATACATAATTCTAAATGGACATTAATATAAATTAAACTAATGAAGTAAATTGCATATGAGTGAGAAAATTCTCAGTTAAGAAAAATTAACGTTATTTTTGTCTAATGCTATCACTTCCAATGTGCAGTAGATGCAATTTGAATCTACGTTGTTATCAGTATGTATTTGAATGGTGTGATAATGATTTATTGTAACTTCAAGCAGTGCTAGAGAAGGGTGATGTGCTTTGGAAAGACAGGTGTGCCAAATGCTGATCAGCGCATGTAGGATGACGGTAGGGTTGAACTTTGTCCGTAGCCTGTTTTCTTTCTGTGACTTGCATTCTCCCTCGGGCATGGAATTTATCTGAGATATAATGTGAACTTCCTGCAAAAGGGATTTCCTTATTTGTGGCAGTGAAAGATGGGTACTGATGGTAGAAATAAGATGACCAATTTTGCAAATTCTACCCAAAATCCTAATTTTTGACTGAACAGTGTGGAGCAGTGTCTGGTCTGTCCTTAAATTAATATATGAGCAATATATGCTCCTGGCTACTGGGATTTGCTGGTTTCAAAGAACTGGGGTGATAATAGGTAACAATGAGAAGAATATTCATGCAAACTTTTGAACTTTTACTTTCCTTGCTGCTTACTTATTTTGTTTCTGCTAATAGACCTGATCTTTCATCTTTTAGGAAATATGTGTGTTTCTTTTGTGTGACTGAGCAGGCAATGTCTCGTCGGAGACTTCACAGAAAATAAGCTTTTGGGGTGAGGTGGAGGATCTTCCCAGGGCATCCTGATATCATGAACCTTCTGTAGTGCTTGGAATTAACATTTCTCTTGGCAGCCTAGTGTTCCGTAGGGTGAGAACCACTCACCTTGACATCAAACATATTCTTGGCTCTTACTGGCATTATTCATTTCAAAAGTACGTATCTGTTGTAGTGCCTCAAATGCATGGGGTTGTGAAATGACTTTTCAAATGGTCAATTAATAGCCCTTATTACCTGGGAGCAAGCAAATGCACTTTATGAGGTTATACAAGTTGCAGATGATGAAGGCAAACAATGAGAAAGTGTTCCATTTAGGAAGGATGTGAGTATATCCCATTATTTTAATTTACACAGAAGATTGTAAATTTTGTAACCATCTAAGAACACCTGTGTCTATTAAATAGAACTGTTTCAGTTTCAGAAGTCTTCCATGACCAAACACCAAGTCTTTAAATGGAACCAGTTCAACTGCAGTACAGCAAGAAGAATATGTCTGAGATGTAATCAGAGACCAAAAAAAAAAAATTTAATCAGAAGTACAGAGAAAGCCAGCAACAGTACCTGAAACCCAATACCTAGTAAATACAGATCTCCAAGACCCAGAGCTAATCATCATCTATTTTCGCTTCATTTAACAGTGAAAGATACACAGGTTGAAATATGTCTGTGTAACAGTTTCTTCATAAGAGCAGTTTTAACATCTTTTTGTAAATTCAGATGGTGATGCAAGAAACCTACCAAATCCTAAGTGCCCTTTCAGTTGGGGAAGCAGCATCATAATTCACAAAACAGTTGAGGTTTTGGAGCTCATCTAGTAGCCATCCTTCCTCTCCGCTCCCACACATTAAACTCCCTGAGCAGAAAGGCAGAGACAGGGTTGACAATTTAACGCCCCCATAGTTATGTTGGCACACCAGTACTTCTGCGAAATCGAATGTGAAACTGCTTCTCACCCACACTGGAGGGAGCACTCTCCATTCCTCAGTGTTTATTAGTGACACAAATGAAGATTTACGCAGAGAGGAACAAAACTGCTGACAAGACCACGTTTTGCTGTCCAAAGAACAGAAGGGGTTAGAATGACTTCCCAGAGAGAGCACACAAGGAAGTGAGTTCTCCAGAGCTCCATTCCAGACCTTGTTCTGGTCCAACTAGTTAAATCTGAGACAGTGTTCTTCAGAGCTGCAGTCTGACCACGTGTTGTTTGTTTTCAGTAAGCCTTAACAAGGTAGTGTGGGTTACAGCAGTTTTCTGAATCCAAATAAAAAGTACACACACACATCTGTGGTCACACTCAAACTGCTGAGCTTTTTCTTAGAGTATCTCATGTTGAAAGAGACCCATATGACCTAAAAGTAAATGATGTGACAAAGACCATTGTCCAGATGCTCCTTGAACTCTGACAGGCTTGGTGCCATGCCTGCTTCCCTGGGGAGCCTGTCCCAGTGACTGATCACCCTCTCAGTAAAAAAAAAATGTCTACATGTCCAACCTGAACCTCCCCTTGGGCAGCTTCATCCCATTTCCTCATGTCCTGTCACTGGCCACCTGAGAGGAGATCAGCACCTCCCTCTCTGCTGTCACCCATGAGAAAGTTGTAGACTGCAAGCAAGCGGAACAAGCCAGGTGATCACAGCTACTCCTAAGTCTTGCTCTTGAGGCTTTCGCCATCTTGGTCACCCTCCTCTGGGTAACAGTTTGATGCTCTCCTTCTGTTGAGGTGCCCAAAACTGCACACGGTGCTTGAGGTGAGGCCACAGCAGTGCCGTGTAGAGTGGGACAATCGCCTCCCTTGACCACCCAGTGATGCTGTGCTTAGCACACCCCAGGACATTGTTGGCCCTTTTGGCTGCCACTGTCGACTCATTCAACTTGCCCTCAACCCAGACCTCCAGATCTTTCTGAGGGGCTGCTCTCCAGTCTCTGGTACCTCAGTTTGTACATATAACCAGAGTTACCACATCCGAGGTGCAGGATCTGGCACTTGCTGCCGTTGGTGATTGCCCAGCTCTCTAGTCTCTCAAATTTCTCTGTAAGGCCTCTCCACCTGGTAGTCCACAGCTCCTCCTAGTTTAGTATTATTGGCAAGCTTCATGTACATTACAAACAATCTTATAAAAACATTGGCAAGAACTGGCCCTAAAGGTGATCCCTGGGGAACCCCACTGGTGACTGGGCTGATATAACCCCGTTTGCTGTATTTCTTGAAGCTCAACCCATCAACCAATTGTTCACCCAATGTATTACAGACTTGTCTAGCTGTATGCTGGACAGTTTATCCAGAAGGATACTGTGAGAGGCAGTATCAAAATCTTTGCCAAAATCCAGAAATGCCACACTTACTGGCTTACTTTGGTCAACTATATTGATATCCTTGTTATAAAAAGGAATCAAGTTGGTTAAGCAGGACTTTCCTCTTGTGAACCCATGCTGTGCTGGCTGGGAGTTTATCACCCCCAAGCTGTGGTCCTCCAGCACAGGATTGTGGGGGTCCCAGGACCCATCATGGATTCTGAAGTGAAGGTGAAGGAAGTATGCAACTCTTCTGCTTTGTCTACATCCCATTTGTAAGGTGACCAGCCTTGTCAAGCAACACACCGATATTATCTCTGATGCTCCTTTTCATTAACTTGTTTCAGTTTCCTATTTGTAAAACACTGCATAGCTCAATCATAATAATAGACTATAAATACTTCAATATTTTCTGTTTTCTCAACATCAGTTACTCAACTTCGAACAACTCAAGCAATGCAATTTAGTAAATTCTAGCAGCATGATCTTCAAAGTGCATCTGTTGAAATACAAAGGTATTTACCCTCACGAAGTTAGAACATGTAAGTGACATAGCAACAAAATTTTCGCTCATTAGCAGGACTAGCCCAGGGAAAAACTGTCAGTGTCTTTCCTGAGAAATGTTCAGTTGAAGGGTTGATAAAATCAACCAAGTGACCAGCCAGCTGATCTCTCCCTTTCTCCTGTGTAATTCAGGTGGCTGAACACAGGAAAGAGAAGTGCTGAATTTCCTATTCTTTTTGAAACCCAGTCTATCTCTGGTTGAATTTAATTAGAGAAGTCTCTTTTCTGTCAGCCCTCTATGCTAACTGTGTTCCTGAGACATCACAATATTTGGGGATAAAGAGGTGTTCCCTCTTCCCAATAAACAGCTGCAAAAGTTCTTCCTATGAAAAAGCAAAAAGTAAGAGACACAGGTTTTGTCTGTAAATAACTGCTCTGGGAAAAGATAATTCATGAACTACATTCCAAAGACAAATCAACCTAGTAATACCCAGATGACCTAGAAGTCAAGGAGATGCTGCATGCAATAAACCCCCACCTTTCTATATAAGCAGAATATATAGAGAATATCCTTTCCCCAAACAGGACACCCAGCATTACACCACTCCAATCCAATGCATAATTAACTATTTTAACTATTTCAGTTAATGCTTCAGAATACTAGATTATGGGGCATAAGGTAATGCACTGCTGGAAAAATAATTACATTTTCAAATAAATAAAGTTTTCACCCGTAAAAGAGAAATATCCATGCTTGGCACTGCAGTAATGCATTTTAAACATTCATCAGCACAGATAGACTACTGCAAATTGTTACCTGAAAGA